TTTGTTGGGTTCTAAAAAGAAATACCCTCCTTTGAATTTATATTGTTAGTGTGGCCAAACTTTATATCTAAAATTTGTTTGGCACATATATTTTTAATGTGCTAGTAATGGGTCCATATAAAGAATCATAAACGGAAAAACTGACACACTGCAGAATAATTCATCGTTTACAATTACAAAGAAAAGCTCTCCATTCAGACCTAAGAGATAAATCAAACAAGACACCAAATAGCACATCAACATTCAACAAATAGGTGATAACCTAATGTAATCTATAAAGGGGGAAAAAAAGACGAGGCAGGGTTACCTCCCATATAACGACAAGACCGTCACCAGATGACGAGGCCAAGTATTTCCCATCTTGAGAAAATTGCAGGAACCAGACTTCATCCTCGTGTTCTTTTAATATCTGGAGGGACCAAACAACAACCATATAAATCAACAGTACTTTGAGAAAAAAATGGCAGCTCTTAAGGATGTTACAATAGAGGATATTCTGATGATTTATCAAGAGTCATATGTCCCAAGAAGTTTGTTGATCTGTCTCATATATTACTCACCACCTCAATAGCTAACCCCACCACCCAAAAAAGAGATACTACAACCATGAACTAAACTTTCTCTAGGAAATGAACACTCAAAAAGCTGATCATGACCAGATATTACTAGAAGAAACATAACTTTGCAATCACTAGTAGAAACATTTCTCTTTCCATATGTTACAATAATATTTTGTTTCATCTCCTTCTTCAACCTATTGTTTCTCCTTTTAATTGCTGATGAATTCTACTAATTAATCCAGGTCATTATTGGGAAAAAAAAAAAAAAAAGAAAAGAAAAAGAATCACAATGATACTACCAACACATAGTTCTCACTATCTTATCAACAAAACACAAAGAATAATAAACTAGCAGAACCTGCAATGCCTGGGAAGGAATGTGGTCCCTTCCACACTTGTGATCAGCCAGCAACGACATTTTCCCGACCGAAGAATTGTGAAACCTGCAAGCACCCTTCTGCAAGACGAGAGCCTGTTCAAGAAGGTGGACAAATCTATTCTCCGGGATCATCTATGCTGGCGGAAGTATCTCACGCAATTTCTCCAGCAGCTCTTTACGTGACTCCTTTATCTTTAATTCCATCAACTAAATTTCCTGGAGGGAACAAAACAATCGAGGCAAGCTCCCTCACCCTCTCTTGGTTCTCACCAAGTGAGGCTATCTCAGTCCTCAGAATCCTCAAAGCATCCATGTTTTCCCTCCACCCAGAAGCTCGAAGAATTTCTTCTCGAACATGAGAAAAGTAGTTAACTTAAGAGCCTTCTCATCGGCCAAGCCCATCTCACGCAACATGGAGACACTTTCATCCCATTGGCCCTCTAGCACTTGATACATGAACAGCTCCACTGCAGATGAGTGCAGTGGGATCCCAGACTCCTCCTCCAGGCGGGCCCCGGACTTGGAGTAGCCGAGAGAATATAGTGCCTCGGCTATAATCCGGACAAGCTCGACTTTTCTAACGACCCCATTCTGACCCACAACCTCTTTCATTGTCTTGAGAAGCTAAAACGCGAGCCATCGAGCGCCTTGAGGAGCAACTGCCTTGTTCTCTAAGGGACAACCCGTTTGAAGAACCTTCCGATGATTCTCCGGAGAACACTTTCACACGTTTTGTGGGTGGCTCATTGTCCTCTACACCTCCCATGAAAAGAAAACTAAAACCTTCAGCCCATATATTTATATACTGCAAAGAGAGTAGTGGTATTTCTTGTCAAGCACTCAGATGAAATGTTATGTAAATAGCAAAGAAGGAATAAGTAGTTTTAGCAGAGAATACTCAATCAACCCACATAAATGTCGATCACCCGAACCTAAAATAAAACCCATTACGCATCTCAAATCAAAAACTAAAACTCAACTGGTAACAACAGTATTTGAACTTCCATTATCAAAATCACCCACATATTCACAAGGCAACTAAAGTGAAACAAGATGATGAAAATTAATAAGACCGAAAATCGATCGTTCACTTTAATCAATTAAGAATAATGATGAGTATCCAATCGGGACGATGCTTCATACCCACGTTTGGCACCCAATCGAGCAACCAATCAAACCGAGTAAGAATCAAAACTTTACTAATTCTACCAAGTGGGCGCACAAATCAGGTAAACAAAAATCATCAAAGCCAAGCGCGATGAAAAAAGGAATTAGCCGAAAGGTGGGACAGAGAGCACCGTAGAGACTTGGAGAAGGAAGGATCCGAAATGGGAAATATTTAGTAGTCTCATATGTTTAGGGGTGACACTTTTGGTCCCAACTATAAATGGTCTCGCAGCTTTTAAAAAATATCAAAAGTAGGACACTTTCTCATTTTCCGACCCGGAAAGCACGTGGCTTATTTTCTTTACACGTTGTCTTTTTTTTTTCTACCTGCTGCAAATTATACATCCCACGTAAAAAATCAGAGAATCGGGCATTTTCAAAACCCTCTCAAGTTCCCAAAATTCCCAAACCAAGATTTAGAACCCTAATCCCCGAACTCCGAACGAATTTTGTGTTGATCGAAACATAATTGAGCAAAAACTCAATGTAGAAACGGGCATACTCAAATTTCTTTCTCCAATTTCTGAAAAATTCTCAAATCTCAACCCTAATTGACATATGTCTTTTGTCATCGGAGATGGGACATGCTATTATGGTCGGAGGACGATGATTCGGACATCATGAAAAGACACCAACCTTGGGCGGCGATTCCAATTTATGAGGTAAGGTGTTAATTAGAATTCCATCATGCTGTTAATTAGAATTGTAGGTTCATGTTCTTAGAATTGCTGGTTTACTTATTTCTAAATTTGACTCTTACAGCATGGAGCTTGTGATTACTTTGACTGGTTTGATCCTCCAATGTGTCGTAGGTCTAAAATCATAATTCTAGGCCTCTTGAGGAAGATGAATGAAAGGCAAACTGAGATTGAGAAGCTGAAACTGAAAAATGAACATTTGGTGGAGTTGAACAAAAAGTTGAAGAAGATAGTCTTCATTTTGGTTCTTTTACTGATGTTGGTTATTTTATCCAATTTCAAAGTTGCTAAGAGCCCAAATGGAATGAACCAAGTGAAGATGCTTCAATGACTGTCAAGTGTTATGTTTAGATGTAGTAAGAATCTTTTATATGAAGTGTTCTGTAATAGCATTTTGAATGGTGGCATAGTAAAGATGTTGGTGTTTGCATTTTGAATGGTGGGATGGTTAAAATGGTAGGATCCTATTTATGTAAAACTACTTTTATATGTTGTGTAACATTTTTAATGTAATATGTTGTATTTGGAATGACAAAAACTGTTTTTCTTTTTTCCTCATTTTTCAAACAAAAGTGTGGTGAAATTGTAAGATAAAGGGGCACAATAACCTGTTTATATAACTTGTTTACACAATATCTATTTGTCCAAACCAATACCACCAATACCACAACAACATAAAAGTACACAATATATGTTCTTGTCATTGCATTCAAACAAAATTCCTAGAACATGTACACCAAAAGTTGTTTTGTCACATGAGAACCAAAACAAATTCAACATTCAAACAAAATCTAAAGAACATCTACACCAAAACTTGTTTGTCCACATTACAACCCAAAACAAATCTAGTCATCATCCAATTGTTTCACAACCAAAACATGTCCAAAATAAGTTTCACTATAAAAAATTACAAATAATTTAACTTTAACACAAAAATATTCATTTTTTACTTCTTTTCCCCTTCCATTTCTTCATTTGCACTCATGTTTGGCTTTCCTGAGAGAGGTTCGTGAACTTTTTCCCACCTTCCACCACAATTGACTTGGAGTTGTTGGGCTTGGTATGAATAATGGTCTGCTCTATCCTCCTGTGATTGGTGGGGGTGCTCTTATATTGATCCTAGTCTGCAGAGAGTTAGTCACAGGTGGCTGGTTTGAGGACATTTTCAGTTGCTCAAATGGAGAAGGACCTGGCTTGTGAGGCTACACATATTTATATATGTTTGTCCCATTTTTGTTGCATTTTTCGTGTTTGTTTTGTCGTTCTTTTTCCCTCATTTAGGTTTTTTCGTGGTTTATACTCGTTTTTGTAGTTTAATCTGTGTTTTTTTCTCAATTTAGAGTCTTTCTGTGTTTTTTCGGTTATTTCTCCGTTTTCTGCATTTTTCTCGCCTTTAGTGGTGTGCAGATCAGTTGCCTCGATATACTACAATTTGGAGGAGAAAATTTATTTGATGAGCTTAACGTCGTAGTAGGATGCGTTGGCTTCACACACGAGAAAACGGAATCAGAATTGGTCTCCAAACGAGCTCGAACGAACGCAAAACGCAAAGTGATGCGGTCAGCCTGATCCCCCGGACCCCGCGCTCGCGCCGCGCCCGCAATGACCGCACGAAACGAACAGAGCGAAATATTCCAACACCACACCGCGGTCGTCCATCCTTTCATCACGCCGCGAGACCTCCATCACGGGGTAGCAACCACTCCCTTCACGGCGCGAGACCTCCACCACGGCGCGACAACCACTCTTTTCACGCCGCGAAGCTCTTGGCACGACGCGAGCCCCCATGTTGCTATATATACAAGTTCCGCCCAATTTTCTTCGCCGCAACCACATGAGAGAAAGTCGCGGCCGCGAGACAAACTTCCGCGCAAGAAAAATCGCAGCCTCGGAGCTGGTCGTGGCTGCGGAGGTCGCATTTCCTTGAATTAAAGTAGCAGATTTTCTTAAATTGGGGGATTATGTTCAAAACTAGGTTTTGGAGTTCTCTGGTAAGTTTTTCACCCGTATTCCATCATTTTGAACGTAGAACAAGGATTTGATCTCGGATTTTGCTATTGCTTTTGGTTCAAGCTTGTTTATCGAATTCAACTCTGGAATTTTATTAATCGTAAGATTTTCTTTTCATTTAATTGATGGATATTGATTCTTTATATTGAGATGATTATTATTGTTGATTCGATTATGAGTGGTTAAATTAATATGCTAGGGAATAGGGGATTGATGTTTTGATTTCAATTGTGATTGTGGGTGTTCGTGATTGATCTTCTTATGCGAGTTAATCTTTTAAAAGTGATTTTCAATTATCGTTCTTGAAATATTGAGAATTGTTGAAGGATAACACTTCAACTTCCAATTATTTTCAATTGAATTTGATTTATTCGTGCTTGATATTGGTGATTCTAATCGATTAGTCGGTTAACCACCCTCTAGTCTAATTTAATCGACTCTTAGAACCAAAATGGGCGAAGTCGGTCGAAATAGGATCGCATAAGTTAGGCTTGTTCGTAATTGTATTTCCTAGTTAAATGACTTGTTAAATTTTCGTTCTAGTTTGTTCTCTTGTTACAAAGAGTTATTGAGGATGAGTACTTGAACGTGCAAGTTATTCAAATCACTTAACTGAACAATCACTTGCCCATTAATTGCAATTTGAACCAAAACAGATATCCCCGACTCTCTAGCTTCTTAAATCATGCTTGTTCTGCATTGTTACTTGCTATTTTTATTACTTGATATTTCGTATTAAATGATAATTAAAATCAAACCAATCTCTAAATTAGAATGTTTAGGCCTTGTTTCTTTTTTCTGTGACTGAATAAACATACAATTTAATCCAACTAATCTTCCTCGAGAGACACGACCTGGTGTTCGAATCTTTCGATTCTACTCCGGAAAAATATTTACTACAAATTGACGCCGTTGCCGGGGAAGGTTTAGGACGTATTTTGTGCGCTTATTCACTTTATTTTTCTTTTTTTTTTTCTTATTCTCTGTTTAGGTGTTAGTTCTTTCGTTTTTCTTGTTTTTATTTTGTTTTCTTTTATTTATCATTGGTGCCCGTAACCCGTTGTCTGTTTGAATGTATGCGTACCAGGAGTGGATTATCTCTGATCGGCAAACCTTTCAACGGGATCCTGAGAGAGCTGCTGGACGAGCTTACTTTTGAATCACATGAAGGAGGCGAGCATTCTCTGAATTCATCCGAGGGAAGCAATTTCGACATGGCTGAATAACAACCTCCCTGTAATATCCTCTAAAACCTGGCCCAATCCATGATCGGGCCAATAACTTCCTGTATCCGGTTGGGGCAAGCTACACGAAAATATGAGCTGAAGATGGTCCACTACAATCAGCTTCCATCATTCCATAGGCTTCCCAACAAAGACCCACTCCACTTTCTCCGGGAGTTTTACAACGTCCTCCAGACGTTCCCTCTACATGGGCTGAGCGAGGACCAACTCAGAATGCAGTATTTTCCGGAGACTCTGAAGGAATGGGCTCAGGCCTAGTTCATGACCTTCGCCCCGGATTCTCTCACAACTTGGGCCGAAGTTTACTCAAAATTTGTCGGAGTACTATTCCCATCAGAAGACCCAAGACATTCGGTCCCAGATAGTATCCTTTGCTCAACTGCCAAACAAGCCTCTTCACGAGGCTTGGAAACGTTTCAAGGACCTCCAGAGGCAGTGCCCCCACTACAACCTCGCTTCGGGGCTATTGGCGAATTGCTTCTATGACTCCCTCCACCAGAACTTGCAGTACATGGTGGACAATGCAGCCGAAAGGGATATCGAGGCCAAAAAAGCTAAAGAGATGATTGCGATTTACGAGACGATGAGTGCTAACTCGTCTCAGAAAAGCATCAGAGGGAAGAGATCCACAGTGAACGAGGTCGGACCGGAAAATAATTGCATGGCCAGCAGTTAGCCGAGCTCACGGAGCAGATGCGGCTACTAGATGCTAGAAATTCCTCACCGATTCAGACTATGGCCGTGAATGTTTGCGGCGCGTACGGAGTTCATGGACACCGTTTTGAGGTATGCCTTATGGCTCTTGAGCCAAACTATAAGGGGCAAGGTACTGAAGTGAATGCTATGCAAGGATATCAGAACCGGCCCGGAAATGACCCGTACTCGAGCACGTATAATCCCGGATGGAGAAACCACCCAAGCTTCTCTTGGTCTAACAATAACTTTCAGCAGCCACCTCAGCCTAACTTTGTCCCCCATCAGCAGCAACACAGGGGACAAATGTTAAGGTTGCTAACACCAGAAGCTGGACCGAGCCCGCTAAACTCAGACGAAAAGCTGGATAAAATTCTTCAGTACATGGCCAATAGTGAACAGCGGAGTGCAAATAGTGAGGCTTCCATTAAACGCTTGAAAGCAAAGCTGGGTCAGTTAGCCACCCTAGTGAGGAACATCGAGGTGGAGTTGAAGAAAGATAGACAGCCGAGTCAGCCGGAGCACGGAAATGTTGTGACTGTGATCATGCACGAAGAGCTTAAGGATGAAAAACAGGGCCCGAATGAGCAAGGGGGAATGGAAGAGACCCCAGTGACACCACCACTCGGGCCTACAAGTCGGCGAATCCATACAAACCGAAAATCCCCTTCCCGAGCTGACTTTTGGAGGAGAAAGACCGCACGATGATTCGGGACCTCCATGCGATGTTGGCTAAGGCCAATGTCGACTTATCTCCTCCCGATGTGTTGAAGAAAATCTAAGCCTATGCAAGATTCTTCAAGGAAGTGAACACAAACAAGAAGCGGTTTGAGAATGGTGAGGTGATGATTATATGTGAGGCGGCGAGTGTCTTCCAGCATGACTTGCCGAAGAAAGAAAAGGATCTCTGAGGCTTCATGATCACTATGGCCTTCGGGAATGAGGAAGAGACCTCGGGAATGCTTCATTTAGGAGCAGGCATAAACCTCATGCCTCTTGTAGTTTATGACCGACTCGTGCTTGGAAACATGAAGCCCACCAGGATGTGTCTATACCTGGCTGATCGCTCGTATAGTCAACCAGAAGGGATTGTAGAGGATGTGCTCGTTCGAGTGGGGAAGCTGATAGTCGCCATGGACTTCGTAGTGCTCGATGTGGGGAATGTGCAAGAAAATGGGAAACAAAACTCCATTTTCTTTGGACGACCCTTCATGGCGACCACTAGCACTGTTATCGATGTGAGGAAGGGGATTGCAAGCATTACAGTGTTGGGCGAGACCATCGCCATTTCTGTTCGAGAGACCTAGCCTGAGACGTAGGTGAATTTGGTGGAAGAGTGTATGTCCATTTGGGTGATAGAGCAGATTGTTGACGAAGCGTGTATGAGAGCATACGCGAAGAGGTCATTGCAGGACCGAGCTTGTGTTGAGAAAGGATGTCGTACCGACCGCCACACTACCCCACCCCAGCCGAGTATCAGAGAGTTGCCCCGATCCCAATGGGGCGAGAAATTTGAGTTGATAGAGGTCCGTCGCTGTTCGGGGCCTGACTACTTCCACCCTCCACCTGCACCACCAGATTCACAGTGACTTGTCTAGTCACTGTGTCCTGTATGTTTGTATCTTTTTCTTTCTCTTTATTTTTGTATTTAGTCTAGTGTCTTTGTTTGTTTTTATGTTGGTTGATTATGTGGGCAAACTTTTGTAGCACTAATGATCGACAATGGGGACATTGTTCGGTTTTAGGGGATAGAGGATCCCCCTGTCTTATTCCTCTTGTAGGTTCCAAATAGCCACACATATCACCATTGATATTGAATGAGAAGGAAGCAGTTGAAATACATCAAAATATCCATTGCACAAAGGAAGAGAAGAACCCCAGACTCTGAAGAATTTTGATGATATTGTTCCATTCTATTTTATCAAATGCCTTCATCATGTCTAATTTTAAGGCCATGTAGCATTTATTGACTGTTCTGTGTCTATTCAAGAAATGGATAGCTTCCTGAGCCACAATCACATTATCAATCAGTTGTCTGCCCTTAACAAAGGATGTCTGACTGTTGTGGATGAATTTACACAAGAAAGGTTTCAGTCTGATTGCAAGGATTTTAGAAATTATCTTGTAGGTTACTCCACAGAGGCTAATTGGCATAAAGATGATGAGCACAGTGGGGTTAAGACATTTTTGGATCAGGGTTATCATGGTGTTGTTCCAGTTCTTAAGCACTCTACCAGATTAAAAAAAAAATTGTGGACAACTGCACATATGTATTTTTTAATGGTATCCCAGTAGGTCTGAAAAATCTATAGTTATTATCTATTTGATCAGTAGCTATTGTTTAGCTAATAATGTTAAAAGTATCACTCTATCAAAATATCCTATATATATATATATATATATATATATATTTGATAGAGAATATTATAAATCAAAAGGGCACAAATGTGTGAATACAAGCAGCCAACGGCTGAAAAGTGGGAGGACATGTCAGAAGACCGCCTAGATTCCCGACTAGCAACGCTAGAATAAAAACTCCCAACACACAAACCAACAACGCAAACAACTAAGACAACTAAAAAGACCGTAACACGGTAATATCCGAGTGTCGGATCCCAACAGGATAATAAAGTTGACACCCGGGCGCACAGAGGCCAAACGGCCCAAACCAAAAACACAGAAACACAACAAAAAGAACTCCCACCGGTAGAATGCCCAAGAGGCGACTCCCATTAGGAGAATAGCAGGACACACGGCAAACCGGGGCCAACGGCCCAAACCTAAAACACAAAACTAAAAGGAGAACAACACAACATAAATAGAAAACACCAGAAAATAAAAAAAAAAATAACCAAGCAACAACTAAAAGGCATCCCTCCCTCGGCAGTGACTACCAAGATGGCCATCGAACTAAACCTACGACTGGAGAATTCAAAGCACAGGAACCCCGCTCACCACTGCTAAAGGCCTAGCGAACCCGGAGATCGAAGCCCCGAACTACTCCTAATAGTCGACTCACACTCCAACCGTTGAAACCACATCATCCCCAATCCGGCAAACACCTCAAGCCGAGTGCCAAGCCGACCCTAAAAGTCGAAACCCCAGCACATTCGAAAACAAGCCAGACACCCAAAACTCAAGACAAAGAGCCGGGAGAGGAGAATTGACTGATCCAAGCCTAGTCGCCCCACCCAGCCCGATAGAAACAACCACAACCCGCCAGAATAAAACAAGGCACCCGCCGACCGCAACCAAAAGCAAACCGAGACAATTTGGTAACAACGGAAGGCAGCCACCGCACGACGTGCAAAAGCCATCACCCAAAATATCCTATATTTACTTTTTTAGTTTTTATTTTTCAGATAAAATGACTCTAGAGCTGGGGTTTAATGGACTACGAAATAGTGCATATGTTTTAAGCATGCACTATTTTTAATTAGTGCCGTAATTGCTTAAATTGTGCTTATTTTATTCATATGATATGGTAATCTTGGTAAGGTTCTAATAGCTGTTCTTTATTTCACTTGTTATGTTATTTTTATTTTGAACAATAAATTGAGGTGGACGAAGTTATTTTTTACATAATTTAAAAGTATGAACCTAAGGTCTCATAGTTTTTACTGAATTGAGAATTTTATACGCTATTCAATTATCCATCAAATTTTACTTATGTTTGCCTATATATTTAAAATAAATAATTCATAATATATTTTTGTAAAAACAAAAAAAAATATCCATTTTCAGTATCAACTTCATTTTTCCAGAAGCAAAAAATTACATCACAAGTTAGTACTCAATCTAAGGCTGCACACTCGACACGAGCAGCTCGCGAGCAATCAAGTCAAAACTCGGCTTGATCTCGAGTTTGACAGAACTTGAGTGTAGTTCGATTGTCTCGAGCACGAACTTGAGTCGAGATCGAGCTCATATTTTGTATTATCAAACTTGAGATATATGTTAATCATAATATTAATATATGCACTTAATGGTAATTTTACGAACTTAAAAAATTTCGAATTGTACTCGAGTCGAGCTCAGTATCTTGTATTTTTTTTTTATTATCGACGAGCTAGAGCAACATAAAAAAAATAAAAAAAATCACTCCTTGTGTCCAGTCTAGCCTGTGTGAATTTTTGGCGGGCTAAAAAATGCAGGGTTACTGATTTCCATAGGCACCAGGCAGAAATCATTTTCTCGCCATAGACACCAGAAACTTTCTCGTAAAGATGTCACTCGCCGCCGGCCACGTCGGCGGAAATGGCCGCAATGGCGACCACGACGACTCGCAGGTCGTGAACAACCGGGTCGGCTAGCTTCTTAGTGAGCACGAGCTAAAGGAAAGCTTCACGAGCACGCACTCGTCCACAATAATTGGTCCTGGCGTTTACACGCTTCAAATCGAAACTGATTACGGCTCTTCAGGGTCTCAGGACATCGAGCAGAGCTCGGAGGTCTCCACCGTTGACGGTTTGAGGGAAAGCCCCCACGGGAGGCCTATCAGGCAGCGGCTGCTGGTGGTCGCGAACAGGCTTCCGGTTTCTGCTTTGAGGCGCGAAGCTGACTCGTGGTCTGTGGAGATAAGCGCAGGCGGTCTCGTGAGCGCGCTATTGGGTGAGCGTTTCCCGTTTTTACTGATTCTGATTTAACCTCATCTTGTATGTCCTAATCTACCTGCTACTACGTGTTACACTTTTGTTTTTCAACAATTTCAGTCGTGAGCGATCGTTTGGGTATAGCTTATTACCGCTTCGTCATTTTTTTATTTTATTTTATTTTTTTGCAATTTTGTAATAGTACATTTACACTGTTCTGTGCTCTTTTTTTCCTAATATTTGTTGGACTGTGTGCCAATATTGTAAATCTGAAGGAGTTTGAGATACACTGGATCGGTTGGCCTGGCGTGAAGGTGGCAGATGAGGCTGGCCAGATGGAATTAACTAAAGCTCTGGCGGAGAAGGTGAGACGTTATACGTTTAGTGTACAATAATTTCAAACCAGTGTTCATAATACTTTAATAATGTCATTGTTATATCGCATTGTAGAATTGCGTTCCTGTTTTCTTGAAGGAAGAGAGTGGTTAGGAGTACAACGGATTTTGTACAAACATTTTGTGGCCGTTGTTGTATCTCGGTGTTCCGAGCGATCAGTCTGCTACCACCTGTAACTTTTATCAAATGCAGTTTGCAGCTTATAAGAGTGTCAATCGGATGTTTGTCGATGTTGTCTGGAAACACTATGAAGATGGTGATATCGTCTGGTGTCAAGACTACCATCTGATTTTTGTTCCAAAATTTTTAAAGGAGTATGACACAACTGTTAAAGTTGGATGGTTCTTGCACACCCCTTTCCCGTCTTCAGAAGTCCATCCGACCCGACCATCTCGAACAGAAGTGCTGCATGCGATTCTAGCCGCCGATTTGGTTGGGTAATATGTTTCCATTCTTATTTGCAAATTTCTGTCACGTATTGTACGATATCAGGGAAGTGGATCAACACCACCACTTGGTTCACCAGCCTTCCCTAACCCATATTTTTATTTTAATAAATCTGACACTTAAATATCTTTTTTGCAACTTGATTTTAGTTGGATTTTTTCCAGGTTTCAAACGGACGATTATGCAACACATTTCGTGCATGCTTGTACCCGTATTCTTGGAGTCGAAGTTGTTCCTGAAGGAGTAGAGGATCAAGGGAGAACAATTCATGTGGCAGTGGTATGATCTTGTGAATATGTGTAGTATATTTGAAGAACTTTCTTGATTACGAACTTCTGAGTTTCCACTTGACCATCAAAATCAGTTCATGAAATGATCTTAATACATTTTTCCATCTGCCATTGTAGTTCCCTTTAGGAATTGATGCTGAAAAGTTCATACATAGTCTTGAAGTTCCTCGAGTGCAGGAAATGATGGATAAATTTAAAGCAGTATTTGCTGGAAGAAAGGTTACTAATGTTTAAATTTGTTTTATATCCAAATTCGACAACCAGTGTTTATTCGGTTTAGCGTGATCAGATTAGTGTGTATATTCATCTCTTCTTTGATCTTAAAAGAAACTGAACTGAAATTGCATACAGGTAATGATGGGAGTAGATCGCCTTGATACGAGCGGAAGAATACCCCAAAAGATACTAGGATTTGAAAAATTTTTAGAGGAAAATCCTGGCTGGCAAGATAAGGTGGTTTTACTGCAAGTTGCTTTACCAACCACAACAGCTGACTGTAATTTTCTATTTCGACTTTTTAGCTTATTCTGATGTTTGTTTGATTTTTTTTTTTTAATTCCACCATGAAATTTTAATATTGTTTGTCCTTGTTAATCTCCACAGATCAAAAGCTAAAAAGCCAGGTCAATGAAATTGTTGTACGGGTCAATTGCAGATTTGGAACTCGGAAATCAATTTTTTACCGGGTTAGTAAGTTCATCAGCAGGCTTAAGATGTATATTTCTGTTGCTTGCATCTGTATGCATCAAAAAGCATTTACCATACTGCCAAATATTTTTTGGAAATCAAGAAATATTCGACACTAAAATTAAATGTTCTTGAACCAGTTGAGAGTCTACTGAAACAAACTTTTATACTGTCTGCAGGATCGTGCTCTTGAGTTTGAGTCCTTGTGTGCACTTTATGCAATCACTGGTATGGCTCAGTCTTTAGCAGATCAATTGTTTGGTAAGAAAGAATGCAGCACATATATAAGAAAGAATGCAACTTATTCTAAGTTTAAGATTTTCTTTGTCAAGTAGGCTTAAAATGTTGGAATATCAATTGTGAGTTGTCAATAGCACATTTAGCCATGATGTTAGTTGCAATGTTTATTCGACTATTGATTTGCAGCTAGTTCTTCATTCCACCCGGCACCCGCACTTTGTGATTATGTAATTTATTATTTTTTATTATTATTACTTCAAGATAATTATGTGAGTGTTAAAGTTTTAAGCCACTTTGGTGGCGAATAGCATATTGGCTCTAACAGTTCATTAAGCATTATGATGACACTTTTCACCTCGATATGATTCGACAGATGTGGCACTTGTCACGTCCTTGCGCGACGGGATGAATCTTGTCTGCGATGAGTTTGTGGCATGATAAAGTTCTAAGAAGGGGTTCTCATCCTCAGTGAAGTAATTATCTGACTCTGTTTGTTTTGTTTGATAATTTGCCTTCCTTTCATGAAGTCTGCAACCAATGCTAAAGGGTGATATTTTCAGTAATTTGGAGATGAAAATAAACCCAAATTTGTTCAAATATTTTTAGCACACACCGAGCATCTGTACATTAAAACTTATGTTTATTAAAATTGCATGTCTGACTTGATATTATTTGGTTGCATGTTAAGTTTGCTCGGGCAGCAAAATCTGGAGTCGGAGCACTTATCGTAAACCCACGGAACATCAGTGAAATATCTAATGCAATTCAACAAGCTTTGACTATGCCTGCAGAAAAGAGAAAAACGCCACTTGCATAAATTCGATTATGTGACGTCTCATACTGCTCGACATTGGGCTGAATTCTTCACAAGGTGCGTACTATAAGAGGTCAAATAATTCAGGGAACATCATATGGAGTTTGTTAGATGCAAATGTAACTTTAGGATTGTCATTTTAGAATGTTAAAATAAAACATAAAAAATAATAGAGTGCTAAATCTATTAACAATTTATTCCTCGAAATCTTGCAGGAAAAAGTGTGTGTTTGTGTGATTGTAAACCGAAAATGTTATAAAGGATTTTTGAAAAGCATTGCAGAAGTAAAATGAAACCAAGCAACCAAACATTGTAACTTGATAAGGAGTGCATGAAAACATTTTAGAAGTCCTGTAACAAAGATTTATCGAAGATTTTTTTTGGAACTATATGATTTATCCATGTAGAAATTGTGATCATTGGGTTGCATATCTAAGTATCTAACTCGTTTGTAAGAAACTTAAAATGTCTTTTTGAGGTATGTATCCATGTGAAGTATTACTCGTAAATAACTTCTACAGTAGCAAATGAACTCTTTGCGGACTGAAATAACTTCTACAGCAGCAAATGAACTCTCTGCGGACTGGAGTTATGTATGGCCGCATATCTTTGAATGGAATACTGCACATTCTGAATCTAGAGTATTAATTTTGCAGAAAATTGACCAACACTGTTATTGAAGCAACGCAGAGGATAAGAAAAAATATTCCTCTGCCTTTTTTTAGCGAGGGAATCAATGCTTACTTGCAGTCTGAGAACCGACTCCTGATACTAGTATGTTTTAATTTTCTATATGTTGCATCATGTTTTTCAAATAAAGAGTCATAACATCTGAAACGACTATGATGAGAGCTTTATCCTGTTATGACTAATTTTCTTAGGTTACGTACCTATCTTAAGCAGTAATTAGGAGTTTATGCAGAATGCTAGAAAATTGTTTGTGTATCTCTCCCTTCTATCATCTTGTGAAGTTTCATGTTTTCTTCTGATCACGTTTCAGGGTAAAAATAAGTGAAAGTAAGCTGGACAGTATCTGACATTTTCTTTACATATCATTAAAGTAGTGGAATCATAGTTAGGCAGTAATGAATTCGAGATTTTTGAAGAGTGGTTTGATTATTAATTTGTATATGGTGATGATTTAGTTGGACCCTTGCAAGTACTTAAGAAAATATGTTTTTTCCAATATTCCTTCACCTTTTTCATGGATAATAGCTGACACAAAAAGAAAGTTTTTAGTCTTTTCTGGAAATGATGTTTCTTACAGAGTCTTTTTGAATCATCATATTCTCTGACCTGTTGTTAATTAACTATTTACTGGAGTTTAACGCTGCATTGAGTGGAACAGCTGATATACCTGGAGCGGGTGGGGATCATATAAAGATGGAATTGCCTTCTGACCTGAGAGGTCCACTAACAACTCTTTGTAATGATCCGAACACAACTGTTCAGGTCCTCAGTGGAAGTTGCAGACTCATCCTTGATGAGGTGTGTGTGAATATTTTCTTGTTTTGTTTGTGCTTTTTGTAAACTATGTAATACATAGTTGTAGTACAGTTCTTGGGTCCTAATACATAGTTGTAGTACACTTTCCTTTTATTTCGTCTGTGGGATAACTTGTGTTAATTGGTTTTTCTCGTAGAACTTTGGACAATATGAAGTATGGTTGGCTCCTGAAAATGAAATGTTTCTGAGATCTACAATAGGAGAGTCGATGACGACTATGCCAGAGCTCTTACGGACGGGTTGACAGTGTCAAGGTATAAATCATATGGATCATAAATCAAAACTAAATGCAAATTAAAATATTACATCTGTCATTTGTTCACTTGCAGAGCGACCGCGAGCAACTCGAGGAAAAACTCGAGTACCTTGAAAGAAAATTGATCTCGGCAGATTCCGAGATCGCAGTTCTGTCTACAGAAGCTGGGGTCATGCAGAGCGACCGCGTGCAACTTGAAGAAAAAATCAAAAACCTTGAAAGCCAGTTGAACTCGGCAGATTCCGAGATCGTTCTGTCTACAGAAGCTCGGGTCATGCAAAGCGGCCGCGAGCAAATGGAGGAAAAGATAAAGTACCTTGAAAGAAAATTAGACTCTGCAAATGATGTCCAAATGATGTCCGGGAGTATAAAAACCTGCTTGATGCATATTCAAAATCCGGAATAAGGTGTGTGAATTAGTTATCATCTATTCTTTTTGCCTTTTAATTTTAATTCTGTTAACGTATATTTCTCTATGGTTCTAGAATGATGGAAGAGCTCTTGCAAGCGAGCTGGTCACGAATCTAAGGTTTGTGCTTTTTTGACATGATTGTTAATTTGATATACATGTCTAAGTATCTAATTTGTATCATTCTACAATCGTGTCTATTTTCAGGCTGTCAAGAGAGCCATTGAAACTTGCTTCAAATGCGAGGCAGATGTTGACTTTGTTCTTATTTTTCTTTCAACTCGTCTTTCTTACATCAATTAAATTTTTCCTGAGTGAACCAGCAACGCTCTACTACGCTGTCATGTTTCCACTGACCGTGATGGTGTGTTTGGCATTTCATGTGGGTATCGCAGCAGTTATTTAGTTGGTGTCCGCGGCTCTTATTACGCGCCCTGTCAGATTTGATATTCATATCTACGATTCCGATATTTTTGGAGTCTAGGAATATAATATTTTTGAAGTATAGGAGTGGTTTGTTGCCGAAGCTATTTTTGATTACCCTGCACGTGTCATGTATGCGCTCCAAAAAATAAAAACTTCAGTAAGGCTTGAAAAAAAGAGTTTGTAATACTTAGGTCCAATGAAGCCCATGAAAACTCTCTGCATCAACCAACAGCCATGCATGTAAGTAATCAAAAATAGCTTCGGCAACAAACCACTCCTATACTTCAAAAATATCAGATTCCTAGACTCCAAAAATATTGGAATCGTAGATATGAATATCCCATCTGACAGGGCGCGTAATAAGAGCCGCAGACACCAACTCCTGTCACAAATAACTGCTGCGATACCCACAGGAAATGCCAAACACACCATCACGATCAGTGGCAACATGACAGCGTAGTAGAGCGTCGCTGGTTCACTCAGGAAAAATTTAATTAATGTAAGGAAGACGAGTTGAAAGAAAAATACGAACAAAGTCAACATCTGCCTCGCATTTGAAGCAAGTTTCAATGGCTCTCTTGACAGCCTGAAAATAGACACGCATGTAGAATGATACAAATTAGATACTTAGACATGTATATCAAATTAACAATCATGTCAAAAAAGCACAAACCTTAGATTCGTGACCAGCTTTTTCGCTTGCAAGAGCTCTTCCATCATTCTAGAACCATAGAGAAATATACGTTAACAAAATTAAAATTAAAGGCAAAAAGAATATATGATAACTAATTCACACACCTTATTCCGGATTTTGAATAAGCATCAAGCAGGTTTTTATACTCCCGGAGATCATTTGCAGAGTCTAATTTTCTTTCAAAGTACTTTATCTTTTCCTCCATTTGCTCGCGGTCGCTCTGCATGACCCGAGCTTCTGTAGACAGAATTGTGATCTCGGAATCTGCCGAGTTCAACTGGCTTTCAAGGTTTTTGATTTTTTCTTCAAGTTGCACGCGGTCGCTCTGCATGACCCCAGCTTCTGTAGACAAAACTGCGATCTCGGAATCTGCCGAGATCATTTTTCTTTCAAGGTACTCGAGTTTTTCCTCGAGTTGCTCGCGGTCGCTCTGCAAGTGAACAAATGACACATGTAATATTTTAATTTGCATTTAGTTTTGATTTATGATCCATATGATTTATACCTTGACACTGTCAACCCGTAAGAGCTCTGGCATAGTCGTCATCGACTCTCCTATTGTAGATCTCAGAAACATTTCATTTTCAGCAGCCAACTATACTTCATATTGTCCAAAGTTCTACGAGAAAAACCAATTAACACAAGTTATCCCACAGACGAAATAAAAGGAAAGTGTACTACAACTATGTATTAAGACCCAAGAACTGTACTACAACTATGTATTACATAGTTTACAAAAAGCACAAACAAAACAAGAAAATATTCACACACACCTCATCAAGGATGAGTCTGCAACTTCCACTGAGGACCTAAACAGTTGTGTTCGGATCATTACAAAGAGTTGTTAGTGGACCTCTCAGGTCAGAAGGCAATTCCATCTTTATATAATCCCCACCCGCTCCAGGTATATCAGCTGTTCCACTCAATGCAACGTTAAACCCCTGTAAATAGTTAATTAACAACAGGTCAGAGAATATGATGATTCAAAAAGACTCGGTAAGAAACATCATTTCCAGAAAAGACTAAAAACTTTCTTTTTGTGTCAGCTATTATCCATGAAAAAGGTGAAGGAATATTGGAAAAAGCATATTTTCTTAAGTACTTGCAAGGGTCCAACTAAATCATCACCATATACAAATTAGTAATCAAACAACTCTTCAAAAATCTCGAATTCATTACTGCCTAACTATGATTCCACTACTTAAATGATATGTAAAGAAAATATCAGATACTGTCCAGCTTACTTTCACTTATTTTTACCCTGAAACGTGATCGGAAGAAAACATGAAACTTCACAAGATGATAGAAGGGAGAGATACACAAACAATTTTCTAGCATTCTGCATAAACTCCTAATTACTGCTTAAGATAGGTACGTAACCTAAGAAAATTAGTCATAACAGGATAAAGCTCTCATCATAGTCGTTTCAGATGTTGTGACTCTTTATTTGAAAAACAGGATGCAACATATAGAAAATTAAAACATACTAGTATCAGGAGTCGGTTCTCAGACTGCAAGTAAGTATTGATTCCCTCGCTAAAAAAAGGCGGAGAAATATTTTTTCTTATCCTTTGCGTTGCTTCAATAACAGTGTTGGTCAATTTTCTGCAAAATTAATACTCTAGATTCAGAATGTGCAGTATTCCATTCAGAGATATGCGGCCATACATAACTCCAGTCCGCAGAGAGTTCATTTGCTACTGCAGAAGTTATTTACGAGTAATACTTCACATGGATACATACCTCAAAAAGACATTTTAAGTTTTTTACAAACGAGTTAGATACTTAGATATGCAACCCAATGATCACAATTTCTGCAGTGATAAATCATATAGTTCCAAAAAAAATCTCCGATAAATCTTCGTTACAGGACTTCTAAAATGTTTTCATGCACTCCTTATCAAGTTACAATGTTTGGTTGCTTGGTTTCATTTTACTTCTGCAACGCTTTTCAAACATCCTTTATAACATTTTCGGTTTACAATCACACAAACACACACTTTTTACTGCAAGATTTCGAGGAATAAATTGTTAATAGATTTAGCACTCTATTATTTTTTATGTTTTATTTTAACATTCTAAAATGACAATCCTAAAGTTACATTTGCATCTAACAAACTCCATATGTTGTTCCCTGAATTATTTGACCTTTTATAGTACGCACCTTGTGAAGAATTCAGCCCAATGTCGAGCAGTATGAGACGTCACATAATCGAAGTTATACAAGTGGCGTTTTTCTCTTTCTTCTGCAGGCATAGTCAAAGCTTGTTGAATTGCATTAGATATTTCACTAATGTTCCGTGGGTTTACAATAAGTGCTCCGGCTCCAAGAGATTTTGCTGCCCGAGCAAACTTAACATGCAACCAAATAATATCAAGTCAGACATGCAACAATAAACATAAGTTTTAATGTACAGATGCTCGGTGTGTGCTAAAAATATTTGAACAAATTTGGGTTTATTTTCATCTCCAAATTACTGAAAATATCACCCTTTAGCATTGGTTGCAGATTTCATGAAAGGAAGGCAAATTACTTCACTGAGAATGAGAACCCCCTTCTTAGAACTTTGGCATGCCACAAACTCATCGCTGACAAGATTCATCCTGTCGCGCAAGGACGTGACAAGTGCC